GGTATAAGCTGGAAAGTGATTTTCGAGGCCTTCTAAGAATATCGCCACCGAATTTTTTCCGTCGAAATTGACGTTTGGCTTGATTGATGCTCTCATCGTCTGGACCAGGTATCCAAATCCTTCCTAATTGGTTCGCCATTTCTTGCTGTTGGAGTTGTCCAGAAGCTTCCATCCAAGTTTTCGGCCATTTCAGTTCGACAAGTGTTCGGGCGCCAATGTAGTGTTGCGTGGCCCCAACTTGTCAGCAACTATAGTGGTGACTGCTATGAACTGGAAAGTACACAAACTCTTGAGAAGGGTTTAAATCCCTTTTTATTCCACTTTAGAAATTACAAGATGCGTTCACTTGACGCTCACAAACTACGCCGACCCGCGGTTAAAAAAAACATAAGAAACTAAAAAAAAAAAATAATGACAGGATGAATAAATAACAAGTCACTACCTACGAGGCTCTAAAACGTAACTAACCTAACCGCGTTCTAAGATACAGCTGAGATTCAGCAAACTTTCTGATTAAGCGTTGAAAAATTCACGAACTGCCGAAATAGGCACACAGGCCGAAACGCGCGGTTCTTAAATTTCTAACCTAGCAACCTTCACGCTCGTGAATTCAAGAAAGCACACTTCGAACTCGTTTCCCTTCTATTTAACTCAGATTTACTTCTGCTGAAAATTTGAATATACTGCGCGTTCTACTAAAATTTACATACTCTGGCATTGGCAATTCTAGGGGAAAGTAAAGGCTTGACAGGAAAGATAGCTTAAAATAAATGTTAGTTAAAATAAATATAAACCCTACAGAGAGGTAGCCAAATAGAAGGGCTAAACGGGTTTCAAGGAACTATATGTGAGCTTTCACAGATGATTTCTCAGATTTCGATATTTTCTAACTCAAACTACTCTTGATTGCTACATGCAGGAAAGGAATCGCGACTGTCAGTGGAGAATTTGATTCCGATTTGTCTGCTTTATTATTTCATTTAGAGACATTATTAGGACAAGGTAACATAAAAAAACTAACCATACCTCACTAAAGTTCCAATTATTAACCTTCCATTTTCATGCCAGATGTGCTAACTTACACTACAAAAACCAAGCGCGGGAAAATGTATTCTTCCCCACTTAAACTAATCTTAAGAAGAGGCACAAAATCCAGTTGACCAAATCCAGCTGATGGCAAGTTACCGTACACTACCTTTTGGTTCGGGGGCAACTATAATGTTTTTCGAAGCCAGGTAATATAAAATTCAGCTGCTCTCTCGCCGGTATTCAAATGACTCATCTTCCACTTCCTGACTAAACGTGCTAGCCACTTACACTACAAGAGCACGCACGAGGAATGCAGTAATTCTTATCAAAATTTCTACACGAAATTTGCCTCCACTACTAGACAATTTGCCTGATTATCATAACTACTACATTTTTTTTTTTTTTTTTTTTTTTTTTTTGTTAGAAAAAAAATAATTCTTATTTTTACCAGTTTCTGAAACAATAACTCTACAGTATAGGAAATGTTTTGTTTCATTTCTCATTTGCCTTTCGTGGACTACGCTAAAATTTCAAAATCAATTATTTTGGGATCTATGAGACAGTCTATACAGAGTAAAAATTTAGAAATATCCAAAAAAAGGGAAGAAACTGCATGCTAAAGAATTCAGTGTACAGTTCAACACTTCGTAGAAAGATTTCTTTTAAAGTTTGACATAATTTTAAGATATAAAAATTTTAAAGTAAAATAAAAACATTAATCAAAAGGAATTTCAATTTTAAAAGCTCCGTCTCTGTGCAAGTTTTTCACATTACGGTATATCTTTATTTAGTAAAACAGTATACAATACTTTGCAATGTGAAGTATATTTCCTTGTTTATACTGTCAATATCTTATATTGTTCAATTTATCAATTTACTTTATGTAGCATTTGCTACTTTATGTAGCATCTACAGTTACGCAATAGTTTTTGTAAAATATTACATGCGTATATGGGGCACTACTGTTTAACTATGTAACACCTTTGTGATTACTTCTTAATTATTTAATAAATGTTTTTGCGTGAAAAGAAACTGATAGAGAAAATTTAGTATCGAGTTTACAAAGGAATAACAATAACAGTGAAAAATTACATGAAATATTCATTCATTTTACAAAGCAGAAGGTAAATACTGCCTGAAATGCCCAATTAGATTATTGTCCAGAATGCTTAAATACAGCTGCTAACCCCCTTCCTTCATTAATAAATGCACTTCGTTTAACGGATGAAATTTGAACAGACGAAAAACTGTAGCATTAAATCTGAAGATATTCAGTACTTTTGCAATGGCCAATCTTGAGAATGATTTATACGAATATCAGAAAGGAAAATTCTTGAAGTGCTCCATAATTCTGCTGAATATTCCGTTGAGTTTAAAAATATAAATTGTACTAGTATATATTTTTAAAGGTACAGTTCTTACCGAATTTCCAATTTTTAGAATATAAAATCAAAGACTGTAAATGAACAAAAATACCAATACACTTCTTTTAATGAATGAATGATTCTTTAATGATAACATAAATGGCTAAAAACAAAACTGACATTTTGAGCCAAATTATACCTTAGGCAAAGTTAAAGTTTATAAGGATTCAATTACAGACGGAAAAAATCTGAGACACAGGGAAAGACTGTAGATCCAGCAACTTTTAATTTTCGGCTCGTGTTATAATTTCATCTTCTTAATTTTGCGAGATCTTGACTGCTTGGAGGATGGTATACTAACTATTCACAAATTTTCCATAAAGTTTCTATAGCCTGGCATGCATATGGAATTTACGGAGTTTACCGTTGTCATGGAGAAGAAACTGGTTTTCGTGAAGCACTTTAAATCGTTTTATCAAATTATAACACCTCAAGTTAAACATACTATTTACGGATAACAAAAACAGATAGCAAATAAAAATTTTAAAAAATTCTCATTTTACTTTATCTTACATTTTTAAATAAAAAACCTGTATATTATGAGAGAAGTGAGCATCAGCGGTTTCATACTTTGGATTGTTGCTCATTCGGGATCATAAAACTTCCAGGACTTCTCAGTGGTGATTATTCTGCTCAGTAACTCAGAAACGTTTCCCACGTACTGAGGAAATAGCTTATTACAAGGAACACAAACTCTGTAGCAAATCTGAATACTAAAGAGCTTGTGTTCTCTACTTAGTGAATAAGGCAGTCAGTCATCTTGCACAAGTACGAAATATTTAATTAACAAACTTCTTAATACCGCGATAGTTTGCTACATCACCATTAATCAATAAACGAACTGCGTCTGTCAATTCCCGAATTGCGTCTGTTTACGTCCAATTCATAAATTGCGTTTGTTTTCTTTCAATAGTATCTTTACCTTCACAATGTTTTCTTTCAATAGTATCTTTACCTTCACAATATTTTCTTTGTTCACTGCAGATAGTGATGAGCGAATGTTGCCAGGAACATTCTGTAAGCTACATTTTGTGTTTTTTAAACGCTTCCATTACTTGAACACTATCAGTCTGCCTAAATTTTTCTTCACTGTTTGCTATATCGTATTCCTTTTAAAGGTTTCCTGGGCGAGCAATTTCACACAAAATCCAGTAGTATCCTTTGTCTTGTAATTCACCGTATAATCTTCTGATCTTTCATGGAACATTCACTGCAGTTCGGGTTTTAAAGATGACAAAACAAACCGGCGCGTTGATTTTATTCACATTAACTATGATATATACTGGTTCTCAGTTCGAGGGACAATTACGGAATCTGTCCCACAGGATAGACGAAAAGTTCCAATCCTCTTAACTTTCGTAACAGTTCACGTGTTAAAGATATTACTAAACTTTTTTAAACTTACGTTTGATCAGTTTTAAGCAATATAAAAGTAAACTTTATTAATTTGTTGATATATATTCCAAAGATGAAAAACAAATATCAACTTTTAATGAGAAAGTATTTTTCTTCGTAATTTTGTTATACATTCAGAGACGGAAAAATTCTACTTAATTCAAAAAACGTTACATATAAAGAGCTTTGTTTAAGAAATAAGAAAGAAATCAGTTTTATTCACATAGTTAAGCGATGTCCAAAAGCGCTTTAAATATAGGAATACAATTAACAAACACGTGGTTAATAATAATAAATAAATAATCCATAAATAATTTTAATGAGCCGAAAACAGTGCCATAAATGCCAGTGGTGTGTGATTAGAAAAGAGTCACAATGAACAGGTTAAATGATTTCAAAATAATCACAAAATATAATATTGTATCTTAAGTTTATTGCATTTCTTGTTTACTTCTTTTTACTATTCTTTAAACAAATATTACTTTTTTGTTAATATTTTATCAAACAGAAACGCTAAAAGCCTCGTGTAACTGAAAATATTGAATTTGGTATTTGAATTTAAAAATATTTTATTCAGTATTTAAAATGCTTTGAAGCAAGTTAATACTCTTTCTTTCTTTTGTAATGGAGATTCAAGAACAGACTATCAGATAATGATCTAACCAACATTCTAGACAATAAACGATAAAAAATGTTAAGGACTCAGATTTCAGTCTGTCAGTAACCTTTGTTACTTCACTCTATACCTAAATTACGTTTGAAAAAAAAAAGTTTAAAAAAAACCTTACTATGTTAAATAAATAGCTCTAAAGTAAATCAGATTTATTTTATTTCTATTCAAAATTGACTGAACAAACTTATTTTGTCTGTTCCCCTTTCGCTTATAATAACTTCTTTTATATACTTAGCTTTGCAAAATAGAAATAAACATATAAACAACCTTTCAAGAAAAAAAAAGGCAACTAACATTTCTGTCAAAATTAACCAATAAATGAATGGTGGAAGGATATGTTATGTAAGAAATTAGTAATATTTTGTAAATTTAGGGCTTTTTAATTGCCAAATATAGATAAATATGCAGATCATCCAACTCTCTTATCTTATTCTTTTCATTCCTTCCCTTATTCTATCCTTTTAACTGGCTTTTAACAGAAACTAAATTTGTATGGCCTCCTCCCAAACCTCAGTTCGAAGTAGATGGAGGCGTCACTACTCCATCATCCACTGGTCAAAATTATTCCCCACTAGTCACTCAATCCACCCCTACAGCCTCCACCCAACTCCCGAAAAGCGAATCCTTACCTTCTTTCAGATCAGTGCAGCCACCCCAGCAACAATCCCAGCCGGAAAAACCGAGTGAGCCAGAGACAGTGAAGGCCCCGACACCCCCAAGTATGTTCACTACACCAGCTGCTCCTCATGAAGAGCCTCCTAAGCCAGAAGTAGCACCTGCTCCAGGTAAGGTATGCTTTGTATTAACGATGGCTGGCCAATAAGATTAAAATATTACTATCTCTCTGTTGGTTAAGCCTATGATTCTAGTTTATTAATAAAATATGATTTTTGGCTACGTGACACCTATTTAGTTCACTTTTTAAACGGGAATGAGATGTCTCATATTATCTGTTAGTGCTTTCCAATTCACAAACCTTCACAAATGCATCTAGCCTAAAGCTACCAACACATTTATGAAGATCATTTTTAAATATGTAAAATGCCACTCTCATAAACGTGCCAGCTCAACTAAACCGGAAAATGCCTATATAAGGTAAGTTCTTGTTTTGTTACTTCGATGAGTAGGGAAAGTAAAAAAGCTACTTGTCTTAAAGCTTGTCGGCAATTTACAAAGGAATTTATCAAGCAAATAAGTGAGGAATGGATGGACGTAGTCTGAACACACGCGCTGAATTTCCGGAAACATGTTGGCGCCTTTATCTAAGTTGCCTATTGTTCTACAAGTTACAAAGATACCCTTGCATTAAGACACAAATGTACCTGTATTAACAGACTATACTATGAATGCAGCCTTCGTCAAGATTCCGGAAACGTTCCTGTGGAGATCTACGTAAATAATCATCAAACTTGAATAATGTGCAGGCATCCTGTACACGTTAACTTTTGCTAATGAAGAATTTCAGTTTACAGCTATGTACAGCACAAAGAGTGCAACCTTCATAAAGATGCTGGGACGCCCATGTAAGTGTCTTTAATAAAGAGTCACAGACGCGTATATAGGTTTCCGTACCCATATGAAGCTCAGTTTATAACTTGGAGAAACCAGCTTCCATCAAAGTACCTTACCTTTAGGATGATTTACACCCCGATGAAATTTTTATAAAGGTGCCGGCACCCTTATACAAGGAGATCGCTGTTTTCCAAGTATGTCCTGAAAAAAAGTTATCCACACCCTTTTAAAGCTGGCATCCAATTCGCCCCTGGAGTAGCGGTCATCATATAATTGCCGGTTTGCGGCTTACCGTTTTTCTGTCCTGCCAAATGTTAGCTGACCAGCATAAAATTACTTCACTTTTACGCAGCTCTCTTACTGAAACGATAGAAATAATCAACCCTTCAAGAGATGTGTATAAAGCACATAAAAACTTCCTCTCTGCGGTAAGATTGCTGAATGATTTAGAAACGAACTCTGAAATTACGATATTTATGCTACATTTTTTGATATAATGGGTACGAGCCCAGATGCATGAAAGGAAGGGGCATCAAGCATGATCAGTAATTATTCTAAAAATGCAAGAGTGTTTCTTACAAAATATCAAATTTTTATAAATTTGAGCAAAATTTCTAAATGAAAAGCGCAAAGTTGTTACAAAATTGTTTCAGAAAGATAACAGAACTTTTTTCTACAAAGTACAAATAATTACGATAATCGTAAAATGCAAACGATCGCTATTACAAAGAAATATAAACAAGATGTTGTCTATCAGTGAGATCAAATTTCACGTAAGATTGCAGGATTTAATATTAATTAACCAATTATTATGACTTAAAACTTTGATACAGCTTCTTTTTCATAGTCCTCACCAGAATGTAAATTAGTTGCTTGAGTATTTAAACCGAGGATTAAGTAGACTATTTTGTGTATAGCCTCAGTTTGCGTTACTTTAATTTGCATTGAAATTTATATTTTAAATACACGTAAGTGGCAGAGTTCTTTTTGTAGCACAAGTATTGTCTTTTATTAATTCAAGAGTTAAATGGAAATGTTACACTAACCTTTCCATTTAAGGTTAGAGAAAGAAAATAGAAAGGTTAGTTAATACTTTTCATTTGCCTCAGACTAGAGAATTAATTTTATTTTCAGTATAGTAGAATATGAAAGACATTGTTTTGTGTTTCTGTACAAGCTGAACACTAGAAGATTTACCCAAATTCTATCATAAGCTCGCAGTTTAATTTTTTGATTTAGGCGATAGTATACGATTAAGTAGTTAGACCAAAACTGCATAGCGTTAGATTATGCATGGCTAGAGAAACTAGAATTTAATTATATTCCATACTTACTTCAATAATATTTATTATTTATTTAGTTTTATTAACATAATATCATCTTGCTTATCTTCACATATTTTATTTAATTCTAGTTATTTCGTATTTACTATTTTATTTAGAATTATTATTATTTATTAATATCTACGCGTGTTTCTGTGTACGTCATCAGAACCAGTGAAGGAGGCTCCGGCTCCTGCTCCAGCGCCGTCAGGTCCTCAGGCCCAGAGCTTCGCTCCCGTTCTGCCACCCATCGTAGATCTAAAACCGACCCCCACACCAGCTCAGCCCGGAGTACCGACTGGAGCAGGATCGAAACCTGCTCCTAAGAAGGGACGTGGCCAGCTGATGAAGGAGCAAGCGCCGGGAAGGATACCTATCTGCGCAGATTGTGGAGATCCAATCAGGTATAAAAGTAGATTTTATAATCAGGTATAAGAATGAAGCTTTTTTTTCTTATTATTACAAAAACTATATATAATAATTCGAAAAGCTACGTACATAATATGCATTAAAATTTCCTTTAAGTTGCTTCCGTACAAATAATTTTATAAATTAAACTAAATGGCTTCCAACAAAACCTAAACGAAACTCCCAGAACTTGTTACAATTACAATTACCGTCTGTGCTCTAGAATGATGTTATGAAAAATCTCGAAGTAGTCCACGGGTATCTGACGAATTTCAGACTGAAACCAAGATTAGGAGAAATATAAATAAACAACCTATTTACACAAGAAAATTTTGCATTTTGAACTCGAGGGGTAATTAAGAAAACGTAATATTACTTCAGCTATTTTTTGTAATTAGAATCGTGGGCACCCAAAGTAATATTGCTTTTCTCAAGAAAAAAAAAAAAAAAACTAAAAAACAATTTTTTTTTACCCCTTTTCGGCACGCTACCTTTTAAAGTCGGAGTTTTCATAAAAAAATGGTAGGCAGTCTAATTAGGCCTAGAGGAGTACACAAGTAAAATTTTGTGAAGATAGCACATATCGTTTTAATTCTGTGGGTGTTCCCAAAGTGGCACACTGATTGAATAGAGCTTCGAAATAGTGCTGAAACGAGCATTGTTGTCAATGAACTGACCGATGAGACGCGGAGAAACAAAGAATACAGACTCTCAGTTGTCCTAGATTATCTGTGAGCCCGGTCTGAGCACATCTAGGGTTCGCCGTTTGATTTTAGGCAAGATTTCAAGGTAAAAATTTAAAAATAACATAGAATAAGGAGATTAGTATACATAAAAAATAACATAAAAATTTCTTTTCAAACATTTCCTTTTATACCCTAAAAATATCTGGAAGATTTCTTTGAAAAATGAGGGTCTTAAAAAACTAAACATGGCTAAAATATATGGACTGGTTTGTGTTGAGCTGCCATATACTATAAATAAAGAAGGTTCAGAGTAACCTATAGTAATCTATGAATCCTTTTTCATTCAATTTTTCTGTGCGTACCGAAGGAAATTTTTAGGTGTGTCCAGATCGGACACACTGTGCCGCAAAGGGTTCTGAAATACTGAAAGGGGGATTTCGCAAAGGGTTCTGTGCCGCAAAGGGTTCTGAAATACTGAAAGGACACACTGTGCCGCAAAGGGTTGACACTGAAAGTTCATTATAAAATGTATTTGATGATAGTACTGCAATTTCCAATATCGTAATTAAAGAAACGCTGTATTTCCTGTTGGAAGTTTTTATCTGGGGATATAGAATGACTTGAAAACATATGCAATTTTTTCCTTCACATTTTTCTCTTTTGATCACGCCATTTAACATTACCGCTTTACCAAAAGCAGACTAAAAAAAAGTTCAGGCGAATTATGACTCCAGCTAGATAGCGACTAAAATACATATGTAACCAATGATGAATATTTTGTTTAGAAATTAGGCTAATTTCGGTTTTCGACTCACATGCACATTCTATTCAAATCACTCATTGCCGTAAATATGTGAGTTAGTTACATTATTAAAAAATAAGTATTTGAATTATTAAGAAATGCGTTAATTAATTTTGAAATCACTCAGTTTCTTAGGCAGCTGTAATGTAAAATATACATTAAAAATCTTATACCAATAAAATAGTAACACTCTAGAAATTTTAGCCGTTTTGCAGGGATGATAAATTAAAGATTTTATATTTCGCTCACAGTGGCGTCATTTGCCAAATCACACGTGTAATAAATGCATAAGTAACGTTCTCTGATATAATATATTAGTCCAAAATGATTGGAAAGAGTTCGTTGAACTTTTTTAATACCGTTCAACACTAGGATTATAAGAAGAGGCTTAAAATGTGGAACCCGAGAGATCTTCCTAGGCTTAGGATTCTAGATTTTTGAACCTACGTAACCCTAAGGCTACACTGTAAATCACGTTTAGACTGTAAATTAAGTTTTAGTGGTGTGGTAGCCAGAAGCGGAAAAAAATTAAAGTGTAAATTAAATTTTCAGTGTCAGTTACTGTCGTAGTTTATTTTTATCTGTAGTTTTGACAGATTCCCCTCTTAATTGCATTTATCACTTCAATGTTCTTCTTTTTTAATTTAGAGGTCCCTTTATCATTGCTCTCAACCGTACGTGGTGTCCAGATCACTTCCATTGCAACAACCTGCACTGCAAGACGCATCTAATCGACATCGGCTTCGTAGAGGAGCAAGGTCAGCTGTATTGCGAGCGCTGCTACGAAGCCTTCTTGGCTCCCATCTGTAATAAGTGCAATGTTCGAATCAAAGGGGTAAGTACTGCATTCCAGTTTGGAATAGGAACATTGCGCATTAATAATACAAACGGGATTAAAACATGTGATTTTTATAAAATGTAAAACGGAATAATGAATATTTCTGGTTAACTGATAAATTCAACTATTGCAACGTCATGTGGTCTCATAAAGTAAAAAAAAAATTAAAGTGTGATACTATACGTTTTCATAAAATAAAGGCTTACAGTAAGTATGATAATTTGTTTTTCAAAAAAATAAGTCATGCGATAATGTGTGTTTTCTGTAAAGCGTACCAGCTTAATAATGTCAGTTCTTATTAAGTAACGGATATTCAGTAATGTGATAATGTATTATAGATTAAGGACTTTGAATTTATCAAAATAGGTGGATAAAAAGTGCACGGTATGTTATAGATGAACCCAAAACCTTTGTGTAAACTGACTTGTGGTGTGCCTAATGCCAAAAAAGAATGATATTTTCCAGAACGTGTAGCAAAGGAACCTTATCAGAATGAAAACATCTTTCTTTCTCGTCATATAATCGTTTTGTGATTTATTTTATTTTAAATAATCCAAAATGGCTAATAATTTGCTTTACAATTGTAATAAATTTTCAGTATCATTACTCTGTCTATATATGTCTTGAAATCTGTTTTCGTTTCACGTAGGATTGCTTGAATGCTTTGGACAAACAATGGCATCCAGAGTGCTTCATATGCGCCTATTGCAAGAAACCTTTTGGCAACAATTCTTTCTACCTTGAAGACGGGCTTCCCTACTGCGAGAAAGGTACTGACAAGTTACAATAATTTAAATTCGAAGTACTTGAACTCATATAACAAAATCCTTTTCTTAGAATTCTTTATTTTCTTAGAAGGCCAAGTAATATATATTATGAGTAAGAAATGTATATTATTAAACATATTGCTACCTTAAATTATGCTGGCTAGTAAAAAGGAAATGGCAATAAATATATTAACCTAGGAATAAATCAAGTACAGACTCTCTTGACAGAGTGTTTTTTGAAATGCTCACCATTACTTGCTACGACATGGTTCAATGTGTTTGCCTCTCCTAGAATTTGTGCTCGAACCCGTTTTTCAACAAAAAAGTACTGAAAAACGCCTCCGCCTTTTTTAAAACAGCCATTGATAAATCAAAATGGTTTCAAAGATCTATTTTATGCAAGCAAATAAAGAATTGCCGCACGAAAATAGATGAGGCTAGATAGGAGGTAGGGCAGTTTATTTGATTTTCATCAGACATATTCGTTAACAGGTTTCGAAACTGCTACGTAGGACTAGCCAGATGCTCAAGCACTGCATGCTGATAAGTCATTCTGTGATAAAGAAAGAAATAACAATTTCCTTTTCAAAATAACTCCTCCCCCATCAGTGGCCGAGTAGTTGAGACTGCTGAATACTAGTAGTTAGACCCAAGTTTGAACTCAGGTGAACGGAATATCTTCATGACTGGTTTCCGTGGTTTACCTCATGTGTAGTGTAAATACGACCCACGTTTCCTTAAAGAGTCTTTCATAATTGTATCTCTCCTCTTTAGGCAGATAGCTGTCTTGTGCTTTGCCATATTAAAATAACCTAACTCTAATCCAATGACTTTTCATTTACGTCCTACTTGGGCTTACTTGCTTGCTTTCGGAATCGTAGTGGTGTAACCAAAACTCATCAGCGACAATGATGGCTTTTAACCACTTCACAGTCAAACAAAACTTAAATATTTGTTTCTTCCCCCCCCCATAATAGAAATATTATTTCCTACCTTTCTTCAGCTGTTAAGCCCTGTTTAGGAAACTGCCTACCGGTCTTCTTACTCAAGAGAAAAATTTCTTTTATCTGAAAATAAACAAGGACGATAGCTTAAAGGCATGATTTCAAATGATCAGCAGTTCCATTGCAATACGAACTGAAAGGAGCGTCACACTGTAATCCTATCTTCCGCCTTTGTAAGTGAACTCCCGTCTTTGAAGTTGGTGATCCTGATGCAAGCCCGCTAGTGAGAAACGGGACCAATTAAACCATCAAATCACCTCTTTTCATTTTTGCTGCATTCTGGGAGGTTGTTAAATACTATGTGAAGAGTGTTTCTGGAAGATAACGATCCATGCCGCATTTAATACCGACGAGTGTGGGATGTTGTTGACGCTTACCGATAATTTTCAAATGATCGAATCTGTTGCGGGGGGGGAACGGTAAGGTGGTTAAGTATTTTCAACTTTTCGGCTATGAAACTTCTCAAGTTTTCGACAAAATCCACCTGCACTTGGCGTCTGTACAGAAATACAATCTTGCATACACACAACGCACGATCATGCAAAATTGTTTGAATGTCCTACCAAAGAAATGCGTAACATCTCCGCTGGTCAGTCCACTGTTATTGGATAATCTTCTCAAATAACGTGTTTACCATAATGTCATTGACTGTAGTAGAAGTAACATCCGAATCCTATTGCTATAAAAACAAAACACCGTTTTCAGCAAATTGTTTAACTGCCGAAATGCTATTGATTGTGGCACAACTTCTTAGTTATACAATTGTTGCAACATTTGCCCATATCCATTTGTAACGAATTTCTGTAAACGAAAGGAGAACTTCAAGATGGCTTACTGCTCGTATAAATAGAGACCAGTTTTGTAGGCTGGGAAGGGGGAATATCGCTGAGTTTTATTTTACGGTGTATAGTTGTTTATCTGCGTAATTAATTTCAGATCGTCAATCGGTGAAAACAGTCAAAAAAGTCATCGCACCTTCTGCGGAATCAGCACCTGAAACAAAAGAAAATCTAAACAATTTTTTTCATTTAAAGATTTTAAACTAAATAATTGGATAACTTCTGCTCCAAAGTTAAATTTTCGCAACTTGCGGGATATCAGTAACAATTAAGAGGTTGAACTAGGCCGGCGACACCTGTGCGTTCTCGAAGGTACATTAGGCATCGCCGTGCATTGCTTACTGCTGCACCTACTTTCATGGACTAAGTTTTGAAAGAAAACCTTCCGAGATGCAATTCGAGGATTTAACCATACCTTTATCCTTATCACCAACCACTTAAGAGGACTTTCGGCTCGCCATTTGTTTTGAATGCTCTCTTACCGCACAGGTACCATACCTTTATCCATATCTTTGCAGGATTCGAAACGGAGTCCATCGGACGGCAGACAGTATCACTAATCACTTCCGGCTGGTCGGTTGGATATCAGCAACAGAAACGTGAATTTAAAATTTAAATCAGATAGATCCTGAAGGCTATGATGCAAACAGCTTAAAAAGTGTTGGCTCAAATGATGTGAGTGATTTACTTCGGTTCTCAAATGCCTGATAATTATTGAAAAGTACTATGGCCAGTATCGCTGCCAAAAGCTCTCAATCTAACTTTCAAGAACTGAGTCTTAAATATTCGTATCGCATTTACATCCTGGTGAGAGCTAACGAAAACAAATGCGGCAGTACAGTTTCAGATCATAAGAAAATGGGTTAATTAACATAAAAAATGCTTTACAACCTAAAACCATTGTGAGATTTCCATATAAGTTTTTTTTCTTCAAGCATACGATATTTGAGCTATTCGTGAAGATTTATTTCCTTGCCGATATTTTGTGTATATGTTAAAAATAAATTCATTCGCGGTCCGTTTTGGACTAGCCTACATATAGCGAAATAAAAGTTTTTGAAAGAGTTAGCCAAGAACTTTTCTGTCGTGAAGAAACAAATTCATTAACTCACAAGATCTTTCAGTCTTTACAAAATATCAGATTGTTGGGCTTTGTTTGGCTTCCTTCATGTTTCTCAGATTTTTTTTTCTTTTACAAGGAGCACGCGGAAGATATTTTTCCGGTAGAATCAAAAGAAAACTCGATTGTGTGAGCTTAATTTCTCAATATCTCGCCTTCTAATATCGATTAATTTCCCTCTTAAAATCAAATGACCTTGTTTATTTTTCTAAGATGAATCCTGTTTATGTTTCTACTAAGTTTAAAAAGTTGGTTTTACTTTTCTATTTACTTTCCCAAAATCCTGTTTGTTTTAAAATCCAGCAACCTTGTTTACTTACTATGTGAAAAAGTTTCTTTTCAATTTACTCTGCTATTTCTGATGAGGGAAAAGTTTTTCAATTTTGAAAGGGGAAAAATGGAGAAAACATATTTCCCTTTTTAAAGTTTTTTTTTTTATTTGCCTGACAAATTTATTCCCCAGTGTCATGACTAACAAGAAACTGGGGAGAGAAATGACTTCATCACAGACTTTTAGAAGACACTACAGAACATTTTTTAGAGAATTAGGATTATTTTCGCTATGGCGGAGTACTCTAGGGCTCTCTGCAATAGGGAAATGCCTTCATGAAGGACTTTTTAAGGGAAACGTTTGGTATTTACTTTACGCATGGGAAAAAATGCGAAGTACTTTATGTCTCAAACCTATTCTTTAGGATTAGAAGTCGGGTTGTACTATCAGTTTCAGCGATTTTATCGCTTAGCTGCTGGTAGACGTAAATTTTGATAGTCGTAGGAAAAATGCAAACTGGATATTTTACATTACTGGATACTTTAAAATGTGACACACCGGTAAGCTATTGAGCCATCTTGTAACTTAGTATTTAATTGCGTAGTCTTAGACTTGAATGAAAACTAGTTCAACGTTCAAATTTAGTGACTGCTTTTATTTGAATTTGCATTTTCAGAAGCTGTTGTTATTGGAGCACAAAGTCGTGCTTTTATGCTCAAAGGTCTGTTTAAATAAAATGTTGTCGTTTTTTTCTCAGACATAGCGGCATTTCTTGTCACGTGTGTTAGGGTTATAGAACTAAAGTAGCATTACCAGTTCAAGTTTATCGTTATAAATTAGAAAAGCTAATGATAAATTACTATCTTTAATTTTAATTCAAACTCCAGACTTCGGGAAGAAAAAGAGCAGGTTAAAAGTAAAAAGTTTTCAAATACTAAACTGAACTCTCCACCGTAGCGGAACGTGGAATTTTCTAAAACCAATCGTTCCCTAGTAGAGCACATGAAAAACACCCTTTAATTCTTTGTAAATTAACTTCATTATGTATTGTGACATGTTAAATCAAAATCAACCTGAGCATTTTAAAATACTACGTAAAGCAGGTTTCAAATAAAATTACAGCCCTTGACGAATAAAATTAAATTTAGATGTAAAATATTATTTTCAAATCTCCAAGAAATTTTAAGGAACTGGAACAATTAATTGTCTTAAAATATAGCTGCTTTTTATTTGCTTAGGATAGCCCGAGATTGCAAGTGGCGAATTATCAATTAAACGCATTAAATTTGAAAGTGAACAGAAATAAATTAAATTTAAACGCATAATTAATTAATTCTAGACTGTTAATCGTGTCCCTTACTTTTTTTTAATACGGCGACGCACACAGTGGTTTCCGTCAAGGACTTTTAAGGTAAATTGGCTGGTATGCTTTACAGCACGCGGAGAAAACGTCTAGAACACCCATGCAGCCATCCTGTTTGTCGAGATTCTATCCCAGGATAAACTGCCAATGTTCAGCAATTTACGCCACGGCGGCTGGTGGGGGCCTCTCATCAAGCTTGAAAACAAAGAAAACTAAGCCTTTTACGATAATTAATTTCGAAAGTAAAGCTTAAAAAATATTTTTTTTCAATAAATTCTCATTCATAACAAGCGTAAAATACACATATGCACAGGAAAATAAGAATCAAATTTTTAAAATAATATAATTAAAAAGACTTTTATAATGTATGAGAATGAAGTAAAATACCTAATTAACTTCTGTAAAA